TCAGGCCCTACGGGGGATAGCCTACGGGCCGCTCCCTGGACATCAACAATCAGTTTCACGTGCTGAGCTATACGCGGTAATACAAGTGTTACGACATGGGAGGTTGCCGTTGCATATTCGAACGGACTGCCCTGGCACAATGGAAGGTCTCATGTGCGGGCCCGAATGGTGCATGCATCCGCGCAGGCAGAACTGTGACTTGTGGATAATGATATGGCAGGCCATTCACGATCATGGAGGACTGTCTTCGCAGCTGCAGGTCTCACACGTACGCTCGCACCAGACCCAGGGCGAGGCCACGCTCGACAAGAAGGACAATGACTACGCGGATATTGCGGCGAAGCGGGGGTTGGCCATGCACGCGTTGCCGTCGGAGGCCATTCACCTGCGCGCGAACATGCTGAACATTGTGAGACAGATGGTGTGCTGGATCGGGTTTTCGATGACGTTGGTTGGCAACCTGGACCGCCAGCCGCCGCCAGCGCGCAGGCCGAGGCGTCGACGGCAGCATCCCCGTCGGCCCGAACGCCAGCGACCAGTTCTGGCACAGAGCCAGCGCCTGCACGAACTCAGGCCCACGCTGGCTGGAGGATGGAACTGTAAATTCTGTCAGCGCTTCGCGCGTACAGCCTCAGGACGTAGGAGAATGGTACTAGAGGTTTGCACAGTTCACCGCCCCTCCGCACCTCAGGCCTCTGAGTCCCAATCCAGCCCTGAGGAGGTCCCGCGGAGCCCGCCCCTTGGCCCCCGTCAGAGCCTCAAGAGGCCCATGGATGGCCAAGGCGGCCCTGATCACTAGGGCGGTCCTCGGAGGAAGGAGCTGCGCGGGGCCCCTCCCTCCACCCCCTGTTTCGTCCTCTGACCCTCCCGACCCTCCTCCCTCTCCTCCTCCTCCTCCTCGCCCCTGCCCGATTGTTCGGATCGCGGGCAAAACTAGGATGCCTGAGGACGAGGTGGCAGACGCATCCATTAGGGCTCCCCGCCGCGCGAAGCCGCGCGTTCATTTCGAACCTGCGGTCCAGACCCGCATTAGAGAGGCCGCCGTCGCCCGGGGACCCGAGCTTGGCTCGAACAAGCGCCCCAGATTGGCCGCGGCCACCGCGAGGGCCAACGCCGCCCCTCCCAGCACGGTGCTCCCTGGTGAGGGGCCGATCCCCCCTCGGGCCTCGAGGGGCCACGTGCTCTATAGAGCGGGCGACGTGGTCGGACGCATGCGCTGCTGGTCGTTTTCGGAACGAGCTCATCGATCTCAGCTTTACAATGAGTGTGAGGGCCCCAAGGTTTTTGATGGGAACCCTCAGAATAGATGGAGGCGAAACAATCTCGCCTCTGGCCGCCATCCCAATGAAGGCCGAAAGCATCATATCCCGCTCCCAAGGCGGATGCTCGTGTCGGATCCTGCGGTGGAGTGGCTTGGCCTAGTGGCCTGAATTTGTGATTAACTTGTTTTGTGTCTCGTAGCTTTGCGGGGTCCGGTCATTCAATCGGCCCCGGTCCCAGGTCAGCTCTCCTGGCCTGATTCTGCTGCATGGGCCCGTCGGCGGGCGCGTGCTGGTGGATATGATAGGCCCTGCCCTTTCGTATTCCCCGCCTTGTCTGTGAGAGATTGTGCTTTCTCACCTTTTCCCAATCGTCTGGTTCTGCCCCGAATCCCGGCTCGGCGCGTCCCCTCATGCGCTCGCTGCTCCTCCTCCTCCTCCTCCTCCTCCTCCTCCTCCTCCTCCTCCTCCTCCTCCTCTTCCTCCCTCCTCCGTCCTCCGTCCTCCGTCCTCCGTACTCCGTCCTCCGTCCTCCGCCCTCCGTCCTGCCTCCCCCCTTTTCCTCCTCAGCCATTTTGCGCTCGGGGGCCCTCTCGCCTGCAGGAGGGGGCCGCGCGCACTGGCACTCAGACTTCAGAGTGGCCACGAGCGTCGGAGCCACAGGATTCGGATGGTAGTTACCAAGGCCCAGAATGGAAGCGGCGGCAGCAACAATAAATGGCGCTGTGAACCATGCAAGGTGTACAACGGCGCACGCTACGGTTTCTGTGGGGTGCCCCGCCGACATCGACACGTTCAGCGGACTCCAGCGCGGCCAAGGGCGCCGAGGAGGACCAGCACCACGACGAGCAGCTCGCCAAGGTACAGCACTACCGTGTCAAGCTTGCCGAGCTCCGCATGCTCGCCGAGGGCCCGTTCATGGAGGAGGCCCTGCAGCCGCAAGTGGCGCAGCTCGAGGAAAAAACTCGCCGCTGAGCAAGCATTACTGGGCAACGGAGTGCCGCGCTGCTTCACGCAGTTCAGAGTGGTACGAGATCGCAACAGGGTCGCAGACCAGAAGGAGCGCCGCCAGCAGAGGATCGACACGCTGGAGACACCAGATCGAGCGCTGCCAGCAGAAGGGGCTGGCAGCCACACAGGAGACGCCCACGGACGAGCAAGCCAAGATGGAGCGGTTCAGCACCAAGTTGGGCGGCCTCAACAAGCGGATCGAGGAACTGGCGGTCCCAGGGCCAGGGGAAGGTTGGGCAGCGGCGCTGGCCTTCCTGCAGCAAGCGGAGAAGTGCCTTGACAGCGGGGCCGAGCAGCAGGAGCAGCTCACGGCCGCGCTGGACCACGCAAAGGAGCAGAAGGAGGAGGCGGCTGCCAAGCACGCCGGACGCATCAAGAAGGCCGAGGCGGAGCGGGCAGCCCGAGCAGCACGTGACAGAGCCGACAGGGGCCGCAGCGCCAGCGCCGACGCCACGAAGAGGCGCTGCCCCGACGGCGGCGAAGCCAGGGGGGGGGCGTCATCGAGCTCGAGGCGAAGGCGAGCGAGCTCGACATCAGCAAGACCCTCGTGGGAGCGGGGGTCACTCCTGTGCAGGCTGGGCTCTCAAGTGTCTGGCTGGCGAGCTGCAGCCAGGCCGCGCGATCACCATCGGCAAGAAGCAATGGCTACCCGCGCGCGGGTAGCGGCAGCGGCGGCACGAACCGCCGAGGGGCTTAGTCGAGCCTGGCTGCGTACGCGATCAACGCCAACACATTGGGCTCGCTGGGGCGCGCCATGGCGCAGGTCAGGCGCGAGGACGTGGACGCGATCATCCTGGGACAAGAGCTGCAGGCCAGTGGCGCGCGGCTCGAGCTGCTCCAGGCACGGGCGCGCAAGCAAGGTTGGGACATGGGGGTCGTGAGCAGCGCGAAGACCGAGCCAAGCTGCGGCGCTGGAGTTTTGATTGCGACGGCGCGAAGTCGTGGCATGAACTTCGCGCGCAAAAGGATCAACCAGTGGGGCATCAGCCCGCGGGGGTCCAGGACGGGCCTCATCTGCGGCGCCGCCTACATGTGGAACAGTGATGGCCTCGCGCCGCGGAACCAGCGCATCCTGGCGAAGTGGGACTCTACCATGGATGCATTCCAGCAGGAGAAGATACTCGGAGGCGACTTCAACATGGGCCCCGAGGTGCTGGAGAGCTCGGAGATCGTCGGCAGGATGCACGGGGTCATCGCGCGCGGCGCGAACACGGGCACCTGCGTGAGGACAGACCGAGAGAGAAGCACGCGGGACTACTTCATTGTCTTGCGGGGCCTGGCGTCGGAGACGCTCAAGGTACAGGTGATGGAAGGCTGCCGCACGGCGCCGCGCCTGCCAGCGAAGCTGGCTCTGCCCGTGCGCCACCGCGACACCAGCAATATCTACGTGCCATGCAAGAGGACGCCCTGGCCAATGACGCGGCCGACGGGATGCCCGACGCAGCCGGTGGCCTGGCCAAGGCCACTAGCAAGCGGCAGGGGGCACACGCAGGCCCACATCGACGGGTGCTGGAGCGAGCTGGGGAATGCCTGCGAGAAGCACGCGAACAAGTACCGCGGCTGCGAGGGCGAGGACGCCTGCAAGCGACAGGGCCACTTCAAGAGGGCGAACTACAGGTGGCAGCAGCGCCGGCCCAAGCCGCGCGGCGTGCGCAGCGGCCGCACAGCAGCAGCAGCAGTGGGCCGAGGGCGCCCAGTGGCTGGCGCGGCGGCTGAGCCAGCGGCAGGCGTTGGCCCGAGCACGGCGGGAGAGGAGAGATGATGGCACCTGGAGTCGAGGCCAGCACGTCGCGGACGGCCTCCTCAGCCAGGACATCGTCCTCCCGCTGCTCGCGGCGAAGGCGCCTGGGCAGACGGCAGAGGGCAGCGTCGACGCTTCAGGAGGCGACGAGCTGGAAGGAGAAGAGCTGGGGGAAAAGGATGCCCAGGGGGCTCACATCACATGGGGCACGATCAGCTGGCCGCCTATCGCGCGCGCGCTGTGACAAGCGCCTCGGCAACATAGACGAGGGCGCCCAGTGCTACCTGGACTACATCGCCACCCTGCTGGAACTCGCCAGCAGGCGCTACTGGAAGATGGCCCAGGGCGCATCGGCAGCGCACTGGAGACAGTGGGTGGTCAAGCGCGGAATGAACGAAGCGGGGGGGCTTCGCGAGAGGACCAAGGCGCCCGCTCCACGGCAGCCGCAGACGGGCAAGGAAGGAGGCCGACGACAGCGAGGGGATCCATGCGCTGGCGAATTCGCAGAAATCCGTGGGGGCAGCGCTGCAAGACTGGGAGAAGATCTGGGGCGACCCCCTGGATCACCGAGCCCCGTGGCTGCAGCCGCCCACCGCCCTCGAGTGGGCGGAATGCAGGACGCGGCCCATCACCCCGAGGCAGGTGCTGGAGGCGTGCGGCCGATTCAAGCACAAGACAGGGCTCGGCGAGTCAGGATGGCACCCGCGCCTGTTGGGCGAGGGAGAAATCCATGGAGCTGCGAGGATTGCCGGCGTCCTCAACGCGCTGGAGGCGGGCGCGCCGTGACCCCACGCGCAGGACACCATCCTCTTCTACCTGGTGGCGAAGGCGGCAGGCGGCTTCTGCAACCTGGGCCTGATGCCAGAGCTGGCGAGGCCGTGGGAGGCTATCCGCATGCCGCGCGCCAGGTATTGGGAGGGCGCCAACCGCAAGCCCTGCGACTGGGCGGCGCGCGGGCGGTCCAGCGAGAGGGCTGCGTGGGAGCAGGCGCTGTTCTGCGAGTCCACGGTGGCCGAGGGCATAGAGTACGCGGTCACGTACTTCGACCTGGTCAAGTGCTTCGAGTACGTCACGCACAAGGAGGTGTGGCAAGCGGGAACCCGCTCAGGGTTCAACGCAGTCATCCTCAAGATGGTGCTGCGCATCTACTCCATAGCGCGCCGCATCGTCCTGGACAATGCGTGCGCGGAGGGCAAGGGGCGGGCGCGAAGCGTCGTGGCGGGCAGCCGCCTCGCGTACCTCTGCCTCGAGATGGTCACCTTCGGGGAGCTCGACGGCGAGGTCGCGGACTACCCATGGGCATCGCTGTGCCTCCTCTTCGACGACCTGCGGTCGCCGCGGGAGGTGCGAGGATGTCCGTGCAGCACTGGCACGCGCAGGTCGCGCAGCGGCTCATCGACATGTTCGAGGGACTGGACATGAAGGTCCCCGAAGGCGCGGAGGGTAAGACGGCCACCGTGGCATCGGCCACCGCGTTGCAGGACGGCCTCGCCAAGCGTGTGAGACCGATGGGCGTCAGGATGGCGCGGCACGCGGGCCACCTGGGCGTCGCCACAGCAGCGGGCAGGAGGCGACGGGCCACCGCCTTCAGCAAGAGGGCGAGCAAGTATACAGCGCGGCGGGACCGCATACCGCGCATGCGACGCGCGGGGGGCCCACGCAGGCGATCATCAGGCTAGGCAGGGTGCCGTCTGCCATGTACGTGGTGCAGGTCATGGGCATGGCGAGCTCCACGCTGGTGCGCCTGCGGCAGAGCGTGGCGACCTCCTTCAGGGGCAACACCATGGGCAAGTCAACGCCGCTGGTGCTCCTGGCCGAGGACCCAGACCCGGGCATCCGCGCCAACGTAAAGCCGCTGGTCAACTGGACCATGGCGTAGCAGGAGGCCGACGGCCAGTCATACCTGCTGCGCCAGCTCCAGGGTGCCTGGAAGAAGTGGGTATACCGAGTGGGTCGTGCCAAGACCCCATGGCTGCAGGAGCGCGGGCCAACGGAAGCTTTCGTGGCGACGACGAAGGGACTGGGCTGGCAGACGCAGGCGGCCACAGCGTCACCATAGGCGAAGAGGTCCTGGACCTCAGGACGCCCCCGATCAAGGAGTTGAATCAGTGCATCCGCAGGGCCACGGAGGACAGCCTCAGGCAAGAGTGGCTCGGCAAGCACGGGGAGAAGCACGGCATCACCACATTGTTCGTCGAACCCGTGCGTGCGCTGCTCAAGCGACAGCGAACTGCCTGTTGGACGCTGGAGCAGAAGACGAGAGTCTCTGGAGCGGGGGCGCATGGCCGCGGCAACGGCTATACGACAAGGGCGCCGCGCAGGACAACACCTGCAAGGCGTGCCGCGACGGAGCAGGTACGGACCGCCACAGGACCTTCACGTGCGCAGCCAGAGCTGAACACAGACGAGCTGTGGGAGGACATCACATATGTCACCGCGGGGCGGCGAGGTGGCCTGGAGCATCGGAGGCGCAGCGTGCAGCGTCCGAGGCGCTCTGGGGACGGGGCCGGGCGCCCGACCCCGCGAAGGAGTCCAGGCTGTGGGACCTGCCCTCCATGGACACCAGCGCCGTGGAGGGCGACTTCATCGGGTTTGTGCATGGTGACATCTACACCGACGGCAGCCTCCTGTACGGCGGGTCCCCAGCCCTTCGGCGAGGAGGCCGGGCCTTCGTCCAGCTGGACGAGCACCAGGAGCTGCAGTATGCTGCGTACGGCCCGCTCGAGGGCCCCCAGAGCGACCAGTCCATCTACAGGAGTGAGCTGGTGGTGATCGCCAAGGTCCTCGAGCGGGCTTGCTTACCCGTCAAGATATATTATGATTGCAAGGCCGTGATCGACGGCTTCGAGAAGGGCCCAGCGTGGGCCGCGCGCGCAGACACAGCCCGCAAAGAGGTCTGACTGCGCTGTTGGAAGCTCGTAGAGGAAAACGGAGGGATCGGGCCGCTAGGAATCATAAAAAAAAAAAAAAAAAAAAAAATAAAAAAAAAAAAAAAAAAAAGAAACAAAAAAAAAAAAAAAAGAAAAAAAAAAAAAAAAAAAACAGAAAATAAATAAAAAAAAAAAAAACAAAAAAATTACAAGCCGCTAAAAAAAAAAAAAAAAATAAAAAAAAAATAAAAAAAAAAAAAAAAAAAAAAAAAAAAAAAAACAAAAAAAAAAAAAACACAAAAAAAAAAAAAAAAAAAAACAAACGCTTAAACAAAAAAAAAAAAAAATAAAAAAGAAAAAAAAAAAAAAAAAAAAAAAAAAAAAAAAAAAAAAGGAATCATTATGCACACGGTTAAAGCTCAAAAAAATAAAAAATTAAAAAAGAAGTGCCACCAGGGCCCAAAGGGCTCAGATGGGGCCCCAGCGTTGCCTTGGCAATAATCTCGCAGACACCCGCGCGAAGCGCGGGGCCCTGATGAATCAGCATGAGGCCTGGCATAGGGCCACTTACGTTCAGAGGTACATATTGATTTCAGATATTCTGGAATTTGCCGCGTACGTCGGGGTCCTCGGCCGCGGGCTCGAGGACACCTCCGTGGGCCCTGGGCCCCTTGTGGCCCTGTGCCGCCCCCCCCCCCCCCCCGACGCCTAGTAGGGGAGTGGAGGACCTTGCGGGCCCGCCATAGCCCCCACCCGGCCCCGTGGCCCCCCCCCCGCGCCTCCCGGGGAGCTCGGAGATCGGATCCAGAGGGCCCGTGCCGAAGTCACCAGATGGTGTGCCTGCCTAGTAGCTTTCTGTCGAAGGTGTGCCAGGTACGCCAGGGACCGACGGAGAGGTTTACTTTCCAGTTGCCCTGGGGTAGTCCTAGGGTCTTAGCTGGCCGTTTGAAACGTTTGTGGCACCCCACCACGAATCATATCGGGGATGGACAGACCTCCCTTTAGTAAAACGTGGTTTAGTGAAAACGACCTGAGGCCCAAACCTGGCGGGCGCAACCCTGGAAAATAACGGCCACGGCCGCCCTCTCGAGAACCGAAAACGGACAATTCCCTAATCGACGTGTCACTGTGGGGTTCTGTCCACCCCCCGATCAAATATTCGTTGGAGGCCCACGATTGCCCGAAATGGCCTGGGATGAGGGTGGCCTTCCCCTGTTACGTCCGCCGCGCCCTCGGCGCCATCGACCCCGAAATCCGCACGAATCCTCCGGAATCCTCTCCTCCCTCCTCCCTTCTCCTCCTACTCCTCCACCTCCTCCTCCTCCTCCTCCTCCTCCTTCTCCTCCTTCTCCGCCTCCACCTCCTTCTCCTCCTCCTCCTCCTCCTCCTCCTCCTCCTCCTCCTCCACCCCCTCCTCCATCTCCTCCCTCCTCCGCCCACTCCCCCCCCCCAGGCGCTCCGCGAGACGCTGCGAGACCACAGCCGCGCCCTCGTGGGCCGAACCTGGAAGCAACCGTTAGGTTGTACTGGGCCCGGGGCTTTGGGGGCTCCGCGGCTCCGCGCCCTCAGCCTCCCTTTGAGGGGGAGATAGGGGGAGCGATACAGGAGCAAGAAAAAACGACACCGCCACCACCAGGGATCACCAGCGGGAGGAGCTAGGGGGTCCCCCCCTGCTGGTGTGGTCCCCCCCCACTCGCTCGGGACATCGCCTATCCCCAGCCAGGGGAGGCATCGTGGACCTCCTCGCTGGAGGTGGCCCCCCTGGTGGTGGTGGTGTCGTCCCCCGACGATCGAGGGGGGAGCGGCCCAGGGGAAGGGGGAGAATCGATCTGAAATCGATGATACATCGCCGATGGATCGGCGATGGGCCGACGATGGCAAAACCGAGCGCTCCTGGGCGAGGTGAGCTATCGGTCCCCTATCGGCTCTCCATGGGCGATTGGGCGTATGCTTTCCCCCCCGAGCCTAACCACCCCCACGTTGCCCCTTATCCATCGCCTGCTGCTGCTCTCGGCTTCACGCTACAGTGTCCCTGTAGGCAAGAGTGACCTTTGGTGCGCGCCTGGCGCGCCTGGGCTTGCCAGCCTCCCCCCGCCCGCGCCCCTCGAAAGCTGGCGCGCACCGGAGGCCATCCCGGCGGAGGGTCACCCTTTGCGTGCAGGAGGGGTCACCCTTTGCGTGCAGCAGGACTGAAGGGGCCCTGGGACACACAAGTAAATACACACAAACAACAGGATTTCCCATCCTTCCCCGTGTTTTTGGGATTTTCGCCTTCCCCCCCACTTCCCATAGTTTCCCATATCTTCCTGGGAGTCGATAATTCATTGTGTCCGTGTGTTTTTCCCCCTCCCGAAGGACGCCGGAAACACACGAGGCTGGATTCGCATGTGTTGGGCGCCCGAGTTATCCGGGGTAACTCGGGTCCGGGGTAACTCGGGTTTGGATTCCCGAAATAGGAACCCGAGTTAGCCCTGACCCGAATTACCCCTGATGAATTGGGGCTCTGGACGCCCGAATTATCTGGGGTAACTCGGGCCGGGGTAGCCCGGGTTCGGATTCCCGAAAAGCGAACCCGAGTTAGCCCTGACCCGAGTTGCCCCTGATGATTCGGGGCTCTGACGACCCCCCTCCCTCCGCCCCCCCGCTGGTGCGCGGGGACCTGTCCATCACCGCCGCCTGCGGCATCGATCTTCGGGGACCTCGGCCGGGGGGGGGGATACCGTGGAGAGCCGACCACAAGAAAGCTCCCACCAGAGACCCAACCCTGAGACCCAGGGGCGTCCATGGATTTCTGGTGCGGGAACGTCACGCTTTCCATCGCAGAGCCATCGAATGCCAAGACACTCAGGGCACCCTGGAGGCAAGCAGGGCGTTTCTTGGCATGGGCCCCCACTGTATGGAGCATTGGCCACCCTGCGAGGTCGCCGAAGATCGATCCCTTCCCAGGCATCCGGCGTCTTGAACTTCTCCATTGCCGGGCCCCCAGGGAGGTCTGGACCGTCTCCCCGGGGCCGGCTCTTCAGCCTGGGCAGTGTCTTGACGGTCCCGGGGCGGCCCCCGAGAGGCCGGGAACTGCGTGAACAACCGCCGCCTTGAGTCCCTCAAGGTGTCGGAAGTCTGGCCTGGGCGGTGACGATGGGCAGCTCACCCGCCTCGGAGCTGGCCAGCCAGGGCGGGGCCGCCGCGCGCGGCCCCGATGCCGGGGCGACCATCGCAAGCGTCGCGGCCCTCACCGCCCCAGGTCGCTGGCCACCCGCGCCGCCAGGGACTCGAACAGCTGCCCGACCTCGGCGGAAGGCGGCGCCCGCCCCTCCGCGCCCGTTTCGTGCGCCAGCCGCCGCTCGCGGAGCGCCGGGCGCGCCCAGGGGCCACTCGGCGGCCCTCGGCGTCCAGGTGGCCTTCGGCGGCCAGGTCGTCGTGCTCGTCGTGCTCGTGCTTGTCGTCGTCGTGGTCGTCGTGGTGGTGCCCAGGGTTACGTAGCAAAGAGGAGCGGGACACATGGTTGGCTTTCCCCGGCGCCTCAGAGCGCCGGAGGCGGCCGTGCATCGGAAGAGGTGCCCAGCGGCGGGGCCAGAGCTGGCCGGCTGCATGCAGCAGCTGTCTCCCCGACCCGTTTCCCAAACCGTCCCTTTCGCCTGCCTCGCTGGACGTCAGCGCGCCGTGGGCCCCCGTCGTCGTCGTCGTCGTCGGCGTCGTCGTCGTCGTCGTCGTCCCGATTTTGAAAATTTTCGGGCACCCTGGAAATTCTCGTGTCGCCATGGCTGGACGCGGCTCGGAGAACGCGGCTAGGAGAGGCCTGGAGGCCGGGTTCTTGAGCGGCTTTTGTCGCCGTCGTGGCCGTGGCAATGATGGCACTCGTCGCCAGGGCCACCGTTGTCGTCGTCGTGCTACGCCTCCTCCTCCCCCTCCTCTTCCTCCTCCTCCTCCTCCTCATCAACGCCACGGTCGAGTACAGCAAGTGCTTAGCCGAGCAAGGCTTAGAGATGGAAGACAAATCGGTTATCATCAC